TAACAGGGTGTGGCAGTTGTTTTTACCTGGAGGCTAATTTTTATTTTTAGTATCTCAATTGGCCTCAGGGTAAAGTGTTTTCCAGTAGGGTGAGTCAACTGTCTCTCCCCCCCACCCCCCAAGGCTAGGCAAATGTCTGTGTGGGATATATGTCTTCTGCTGTGTGAGGGAATGACTCAGCATAGGAAACTGTGGGTGTCTGTCTACTGAGCTCTATCCCTTGAATCCCCAATCCTGGTTTCTGGTCACACATCTCCAGTCTACTCTGCCCTCTCTATGCCAGAGCACAAGGTGGGTGGCTCCCCAGGGAATTTTGTGCATTGGCCCTTCAAGAGGGTGCCTGAATTTTTAGCTGTCACTCCCTGGCAGGCAGCAATTTGCTGCTTTTCACAGTCAGATGTTATGTGGGTACCCTTATCACTTCTGGTGCTCTCTGCTGGGGGGCCGAGTTTGGGATTAGATCCCATAAATCTCAGTGGCTGAGTTATCTCTCAGGAACTTTAGTTCCTGTGTTGGGCGCAGGCCAGCCCTTTCACGCTTCTGTCCCTCCTAACAGTCTCTATGTGGTCTCTACTTTTGGTCCTTGGGTATCAGGGTTCTCTCCAGCGAGTCTTTCGTTGATTATTCAGGAAGTTTTTCTGTATTTTAGTTGTAATTTCATGTAATGAATGTCCATGCAGCATCCACTTACTCTGCCACCATTTTTAATCTCCTCCCAATCTACTTTTAATACCTTGCAGTGTGTTCTTGATGTCAGATATATCATTCTTCATTTCTGTCTGGCTCTTGTTCATGGCCTTTATTTTCCTTTTCATGCTGTTGCAATTTGTACTAAGTTCCTTAGTTATCTTTATAACCATTGCTTTGAACTGTGTGTCTGAGAGGTTGCTTTTCTCCATTTCATTTAATTCTTTTTCTGGAGATTCTGTCTTTTCTCTAATTTGGGGGTTCTTTTTTTATCTCCCCATTTTAGCCGTTTCTTTTCATTTGCTTCTGTTTATTATTTGTTTCTATGAACTGCTGTGCATCCTAGTTTTTATAGGCTGGCCTAATGTAAATAGTGTTTTGATGCAATCTCTTTGTTTACCTGTGTCAGATGCTCTAGAAATGCTCCTTATGTGCATTATTTGGGCTCTCCTGTCTTGTTCGTGGAAAGGATCTCCCTTCTGACTTGCTGCCAGTGAGGATCGACCACTACATTGTTTTGCCAGCTCTTAATACCGGTGCTGACAGAAGGGAATAAGGCAAAACAGGGTGAAACCAAAAACAGCATGAAAATCAAGCTACTCAATGCAGTAACAACAGGAAAGACTAAGAAGGAAAAAGAAAACAACTCAAAGAAAAAATATACTAAAAGATGTTCGACCAAAGATTTAGGGGGATATAAAGAAAAAGGGAGAAAGAAGACAAAAAGATGGCTATATGGAAGCAAAGAGGAAGCTAAAAGAACTAGTATAGGAGGAAAAAGAGGAAACAGGAAATAAATGAAATAATTATTATTAAATTAAAATATAGTAATAATGGGTGTATTAAGATATAGATAAGAAAAGCAAAATGGCAAAGATGATTAAACAGAAAAACAAAGCAAAATACAAAAATTTAATAATAATAAGAGGCTGAAGTAGAATAGAATCAAAGGAAAGAGATAAATTAGAGATACGCAAAAAAAAGAAGAAAGAAAAAAAGGTAAAAAACAAATTAACAATAAAAAATAAAACCTACGCACGCATGCACACGCACACACACACTCACACAGCAAAAAAACAAAACCACACACACTCACACACTGAAAGTCCTTTGGGTCCTCTATTCGTGGGCCTCACAGGATTTTGCTCTGTGTTATTGAATCCTGGGCTTCCTAGGAGCTGCTCTAGTGCAGGTGAATGTGAGTTACTGTCCCTTTCTGGCTCTGGCCAACCTGATTGAGGTCTGAGAGGTTGAAGCCACTAGTAGTCCAGTGGGTGAGGACTCCTTAGTTCAAAGGCTGGGTCATCATTGAGTCTCACGCCTTGATTGTCTCTGTTCTGAGCTGTATTCCCTTCCCGCTCTGAGCTGGTCTCACAGGTTTTAGTTGCAAGTGCTTGGGGCAGAAGGGGACATAGGCACTGTCCTGCTGGTGTTCAGTTGCTGGCAGTCTGGTGCCTGAGTCTGGGGTGTGCAAGATGCTGCTGGCTTTCCATTCACTTGGAATCCTTGCTGGTGCCTGCGGCAGGCATGTGCACACAGTTTTGCTGGTGTTCCACTCGCTGTTGGACCTGTGGGGTACCTGCAGAGTGGGTCTTGTGGGAGGTCCCACTTCTGTTCCACTCATTGTGTTGTCCAGGGCAGTGTCCAAGGCTGGTCTGGGGGTGGTGAGGCTGTGCTCCTACTCATGTTTTCCTTTAGTTCTCATGCTTTAGTCTCTGAAGATATTTAAAATTAAAATTAAAACATTTTTTCAATAGGTCATATATATGATTTTCCTTAGGAGTAGTTATTTTTTCCTTAGGAACAGATTTGTTTTCCTATGAGTGAACCATACTTTCTCATTTCTTTGCATGTCTTGTTTCTTTTTGTTGTTGTTGAGAAGTGGCCATCTATACTAAAAACAGGGTAATATGCTAATTAGACCGGCTATCGTCTGGATGTCTTCCAGATGCCCTTCCGGACAGAGCTGCAGTGGCTGTGAGGGCCAAGATCAGGCGGCAGCTGTGGCGGCTGTGAGGGCAAGGGCAGGCGGCCACAGCGGCCGGCAGTGGCAGCAGCAGCGGGGTGATGGGGGCGGCTTCTTCCCCTGATTGGCCCAGTTGCCTCTTGCAGAAGGAGGCCAGAGGCAGCAGCAGTGATGGGGTGATGGGGGCGGTGCCTTCCCTTGATCGGGCTGGTCGCCTCCCGCAGAGGGAGACCAAGCCGCAGTAGGACATCCCTGCTGGGATTCTTGGTGCAGCCTAACAATAACTAGAATGCACAATGGAGCCCCCTGAGGGCTCCTAGATTGTGAGAGGGGGCAGGCCAGGGTGAGGGACCCCCCTTCCAGTGCACAAATTTTTGTGCACCAGGCCTCTAGTTTTAAATAATGTGGTAACTCTAGAAATCAGATTTCTCCCCTCTCCATAATTATTTGTTGCTGATTTGGTAATTGTTGTTTTTGTTTAATGACTTCTGAATTAATCCTGTAAAATCTATTATTTGTTGTGTGTGGCCACTGATGTCTGTACTTGGTTAGTTCGGTGGCAGCTAATGATTGTATTGCAAATAGTAAATCTCCCAGTCTTTACTGAGAGGATCTGTGTGCATTTGGGGCACTCCTTCGACACACAGCCAAGCAATGAACAACTCTGCCTTAGCCTTTACTTCCTGCTTGTTCAGACCTTCAAGTTCAGCCAGAAGTGAGAGCTTAGGACCTTCTCAGGTCTTTCCTGAACACATGCACAGTCTTGGGCATGCATACTTCATAGGTGTGCATATGGCCTTCTAAATTCCCAGAAATATGTTGGAGCTTTTCAAAGTCCCTTTGGACATCTTTTCATTCCCCAGCTTTTTCAGTGTCCCAACTGTCTGTATAATTGTTTTTGGACAAACGCCCACCCAAGGGAGAAGGGTTTTATACTGTGTTAGCTCAGAGGTCAATAAAAAAAAAATCTCTGCTAGTGGGGGTCTTCTAGAGAACCATAATACAGGTCAAATAATGACAGTTCTTTGGAAATAAATCTTGAAAGATTCTGCTCCATTGTGCATTCTGGTTATTGTTAGGCTGCACCAAGAATCCCAGCAGGTTGTTATTTTTGAAGGTTATCATGTAACTGAGAGCTGGAGATGGGACCAGAACACATACATTAAACTGTTTTCCTTTTTTTCCCAATATCCAAGGCTTTTTTAAAAAATGTTTGTTTATTGATTTCAGAGAGGAAAAGAGAGGAGGAAAGAAATAGAAACATTGATGATCAGAGAGAATCATTATTGGCTGCCTCCTGCACCGCATCACCTACTGGGGATCAAGCCCACAACCTGGGCATGTGCCCTGACCAGGAATTGAACCGGGACCTCCTGATTCATGGGTTGATGCTCAACCACAGCCACACAAGCTGTGCTCAGCTGTTTTTCTTGAATTAACATCCCTTGTCTTTGGAATCCTTTCATTGTAGTTTTCAGAGTTCTGAAAAAAATTGGTGCTGACAATTTTTGCCAGTCTTTATTTTCCTTCCTTCCTTCCTTCCTTCCTTCCTTCCTTCCTTCCTTCTTTCTTTCTTTCTTTCTTTCTTTCTTTCTTTCTTTCTTTCTTTCTTTCTTTCTTTCTTTCTTTCTTCTTTCTTTCTTTTTCTTACTTTTAATGGAGGAGAGAATTTTCTGAAGTCCTTAGTCTTCCATTTTCAATGTCACCCTCAGGTAATTTTTAATCAAATGGAATCAGAACGGCATGAGTTGAAGTCTGTATATATTTTCTTATTCCAGTTCCATTCTCACTTATGATTAATGCCTCTTTCCCCCTTCAGAGTCTGAAGAATTCAGACTTAGGAACCAGCCTGCCTAGATTCAAATCCTAGCATTGCTACTTATTAGTTTTATGATCTTAGGCAAGTTACTTAACTTTTCTGTGCTTTACTCTCTTCATCTGTAAAATGGAGATAATACATAGTACCTACCAAGTCAATCTATGTAATGTACTTATAACAATGTTTAGCAGTACTCAATAATGATTACTTGTTTTCAGAAGTTATGATGCTGAAAATTTTAGGTAGTGTGATTCTGTTGTTTAATTTGATTATGTCTCTTACATATCAAGGATTTGTTAACTTATCAATGAATGCACATTAGAAAAATATTTTAAAAGAATCATTAAAATATATTCTTTAATATTTCTATAGAAATATGAGTCCAACAAAGTACACATTTCTTATACAATATTACTCAGTAAGCATTAAAAATTAATAGTTAATGGAAATCCCAGATAAAATATGATGAAGAAAGCTATTATTGTATGTTTATTATTTATAATATTATCTGTTCATTATTTTTGTTAGGTTAATAATAATGAAATGGTTGCATTACAACGAGACCCCAATAACTCCTATGATAAGAATGCAATTAAAGTAAACAATGTGAATGGAAATCAAGTTGGCCATTTAAAGAAAGATCTTGCAGCTGCTTTGGCCTATATTATGGACAACAAATTGGCACAAGTTGAAGGGTAATGTATTTCAGAGTTTAGTTTTAAGAATTTTGAGTTGCATTGAGCTTTGAATTTGCTATGTGTGTATAGTTATCACAAACCTTTAGCATGTGTTTAATAAATGTTTTAATTCTCCTGTCATTTACCTCTACTACCTTGCTATTCCCTCACTTTTCTTTTGAATTATTGCCTTGGAGAAAAATAGACTATGGTTTAAATATTGGGAAGTTCACACTGTCTCTCCAGACCTTTTAGTGCATAGGTTTGGGAGTTTGGAAGTGTTTGTTTAAATCAGATGTTGTGAAACTGGTAGCCTGTGATTAGATGTAGGTCAGCTTCATTTTGTCTACACAGTTTAAAAATTAAAAATTTTCCTCAATATTTGAATAACTGGATATCCTATATTTTATACGTTATTTTTTCCTAAATAAAAAAATTATTTATGAAGATTTTTCTTGACAAATGGAAGGTTTGGTGATGCTGATCTCTCTTTTTCACATGACATCAATTGACTACTGCTGAGTAGCACGTATAGCTTTATCCAGGGCATACTCCAGTTCTTTTGTACATTTGTGTTTGTGATCTCAATTTAAGTATGGAATGTTAGGATATAAAAAAAGTGAGTTTGGACGACAAAGGCTCAGAAATGTCTTCTCACTTTATTTGTGTACTTGTTTTCTTCTTTCTCAGTTCATCAGGTTTTTCAAATATTGAGAATAAACTGGATCAGAAATAGTTCTTGCAAATAATTCTACAGTCTCAGAATGGGTTTGCTAGCCTCTGGTTGTATTAATGAAAGCTCTACCCTCTCAGTTTTACTATTTTATTTATCTTACAATATTGATTATAGACTATCCTTATATTTAAACACTGCTTTATCTATCTAGTTTACTCTGTTTCATCTGTCATTCTGTTAGTAAAACCGCCCCTTTCTTCTGATTATTGTTGGTCCTGTTCTTATCATTTTCTTTCTAGTCTGCCCACTAGTTCCTCCCTATTTTACTTCATGCAAAATTTGAATGCAACACAGAATACTTAATAGTCAGATTCTTAATGGGAGTAAAAAATGGCCACTTTTCATTTCTCACTTTTTTTTTTTCCTTCTTAAATACAATAGGGTAGTCCCTTTTGGTGCAAACAACGCTTTTACCATGCCTCTGCATATGACTCTTTGGGGAAAAGAAGAAAATAGAAAAGCGGTTTTAGATCAGTTGAAAAAACATGGATTTAAATTGGGTCCTGCACCAAAAAGTAAGTTTAGGGTTTAACCTACTATTATTTTGATATTGTAAAAATGTAGGAATTGTAAACATTTGTTATCTTAAGTGATACTTTGAGTTTGGTTGACTAAACTAATTTGCATGAAGGCTCTAAGTTATAACTTTTTTGGAGTCTTTTAAAGAAAATCCGGGAATTTTTTTCTCTTAATTTGAAACAGCTATAGTTTCATAGGAGGTTTCACACACACACACACACACACACACACACACACACACACACAAAGAGAGAGAGAGAGAGAGAGAGAAATATATGAGGTCCTATAAATCCCTCCCCCAAATTCCTCTCATGATAGTATCTAGAAATCTTGATTGTAAATGTTCTCTTTGATAAATTACATATAGACAATAAGAATCTTAAAATAGAGAATGGGAAAGAATTATTTGTTTAGCAAGTGTTTATTCAAATAATGTAGAATTATTTTAATAGTGTATTAATGATAGGATTTAGCTTTTAAAAAACTGTTTTTTAAATTTTTTTATTATTATTATTTTAAATATATTCTATTGATTTTTTACAGAGAGAAAGGGAGAGGGATAGAGAGTTAGAAACATCGATGAGAGAGAAAACATAGATCAGCTGCCTCCTGCACACCCCCCACTGGGGATGTGCCCGCAACCAAGGTACATGCCCTTGACTGGAATTGAACCTGGGACCCTTCAGTTCGCAGGCTGATGCTCTATCCACTGAGCCAAACCGGTCAGGGCAAAAATACTATTTTTTTTTAACCTTCACTCTAGGATATGTTTTTATTTATTTTAGAGAGAGGGGGGAGAGTGTGTGAGAGAGAGAAACATCGATGTGAGAGAGACATCAATCACCTGCCTCCTGCACACACCCTGTCCGGTGATTGAACCTGGATATGTGCTCTGACCTGGAATCAAACTCATGACCTTTTGGTGTACAGGTTAATGCTCCAAGCAACTGAACCACACTGTCCAGGGCTAAACAATTTTAAAATATATTAAAGAGTATTTTTAATGGAGCTTATTTTATAAGTTTTAAAAGCTATTTGCTAAAAAATAATCTATTTTATTTGGTGATTTTATTTTCATTTTGTAAATTATAGCTTTTGGATTCAGTTTGGAAAGTGGTTGGGGCTCTGGAAGAGCTGGGCCAAGCTATAGTATGCCAGTTCATGCTGCAGTACAGCTGACAACTGAACAGGTGTGCTTTTCTTATATTTTGTAATCTAAAAGTGAATTTTAAATGAAGAGTGGTGTTTAAAAGAATAAGATAAATATGTATGTGCTGGCATTAGTGATCTTCAGATATATTGTTAAGTTATGAAACATATTGAATAAATATATATTGCAAACATTTATGTAAAAAGAAATCAGTGATAAGGAATATATCCATGGGTTCACATTCATACCTACATTTAAAACACCTATATTGCTGTATATGCATGGGATGTTTCAGTATATTTTGATGTTTTTGTTGTGTTTGAAATTTTTGAACTATGCAAGTATTTTTTAAAAATTAAAGCTTGAATCTTAACTCCTTTCAGTAAGGTTGCAAATATAGTGCTAAAAAAATAATTCCAGTTCTTTGACATTACTCCAATGCTTAACTTTGTCTAATTTGTAATTTAGGATACTGTTATCCTTAATTAGTTTGGGGTGGTGGAGGGAAAGGGATATAAAATAAAGTAATGCAGATCAATCTACAATTTTTTTTTTTGTCTCTACCCATCAGTATTAGTGTTAGCCTTTTTCTAGTCTGATTATAATTACTGAATTTTCCCTACTTACTGTTAGAAGGTCTTGAGCCTATGTCTGGTGGGTAAACCCCAGGTTACCTCTCCTAACTGTTTAGAGTTGGCCTGATTTCTTCTGGACTATTGCTATATATTCATGTGATATTTACAAAAGTAATTCTAACACATATACATTGCTATAAAAGTTGACTAGATCCAATTTAAAGAACCAACTAAATTAGCAGAAGATTGAAATCATCCCAATATTTTTTTAAAAATATCTTTTATTGATTTTTTACAGAGAGGAAGGGAGAGGGATAGAGAGTTAGAAACATGGATGAGAGAGAAACATAGGTCAGCTGCCTCCTGCACACCTCCTACTGGGGATGTGCCCACAACCAAGGTACATACCCTTGACTGGAATTGAACCTGGGACCCTTCAGTCCGCACGCCGACACTTTATCCACCGAGCCAAATCGGTTATGGCTCGTCCCAATATTTTATGTTCCACGGCAAGATTTTTACTGCAGTAATAATAAATAAAAAATCATTGACTGAAAAAAATGTCAAATGTACCTGGTAGGATCTACCAAAATGGTTTGAATGCAACTATGTAATCCTATTTATAATAATAAATGCATAATATGCTAATTAGACTGGACAGACGAACAACATTCTGGATGTCCTTCCAGACGAAGCTGTGGAGGCAGGGACCGAGGCAGAGGTACTTAGGGGTGATCAGGCAGGCAGGCAGAGTGGTTAGGGGTGATCAGGCAGTCAGGAGAGTGGTTATGGGTGATCAGGCAGGCAGGCAGAGGAGTTAGGGGTGATCAGGCAGGCAGCTGAGTAGTTAGGGGCCATCAGGCAGGCAGGCAGAGAGGTTAGGAGCGATCAGGCAGGCAGATGAGT